AAATTATTGTTTGATACTTGACATCTCTTCTCTGCTACTATCTTTCCTATTTCGGGAGAAATTTTATTGGCCGAGACTACTTTCAAAATTGACCCAACGTGAGCGTTATTAATACGGTTTCGGACAGGAGATTTATTTCCATTCATAACAGAAAATAATTGCTCGCATTGATAAGTACTTCCAAACATGGAAATAATTTCATATGCGAATTTTCGAATATTTTCAAACTTTGCCGGTAAACATTTGTAAAATTCAGGCACACCCACTTCAATAAATTTTGTCTTCAAATTTGAGTCGCATTGAATCTCAATCACTTCCATTTGCATATTACTGGGTTTTTCAGTCTATATTTATTGAGAAAATTGACTAAAACAAAATTTGTCTACCAAAGAATTAAAATCTTTAAACCTTGTTTCAAATTCTGTTCTAAGATTTGAAATTTTTTCTGCGTATTTTTGATAATATGCAGTATCCCTGGAATGGCAGGTGCCCCAAGCCAATTAGAATTTTAAATTTTCGCGCGTACAATTGAAAATGATCCGTATAGTTTATAAATAAATTATATTATAATTTTATATGCTAGTTTCTAATTTTATATGCTAGTTTCCTTTCTAATTCACATTTCTATTTTATTTTTACTTTGAGTTGGACATATTGAGTGGGCCGCAAAAATGTTCATCTCCGGCCGCGAGTTTGACACCCCTGCTGTAAAGTAATACTTGAACTTACTGATAAAAACATTAAAATTAAATATTTTCATTTTAAAGGGAAAAAAATAAACATAATTATAATTTATGGTGTTCTGATTTGTGATCTTCAAAAGAAACTGGTACTCTGCATACCACAGGTACTCTGCAGACAAATAAAACAATAACCAGAAAAATTAACATGAACTGCACAAGTTGTGTGCAGAAGTTGTGATTACTAGTAGTGCCAATTGTCGAGTTAGAGGGTTTCTGTAACTGGAGATATATGTATAACCAGAGTTGTGAAGTTTGTAGTTGGAAATGTTTGATTCCTAGAGTATTCAAAACAGTGACTTATTAGGTTTTCCCTGCATTTTTTTTCCAATAATGCTACAATTTTTCTTTCAACCATCTTTCTGTTTTCAATTTTTATAGAATGAATGATATTAATGTCTGATGAATGAAGCAAATTTGCAGGGAAAATCAACACTTTGCTGTTTTTTTTTAATTGATAATTGAAGGATGTGCATGAAATTGATATATGAACAAAAGAGTTTTTTCTTCTTTTGTATCTTCATAAACTTATCTATTAAGGTTAAAATTTTAGAAAATAATTAATTAATTTGAGGATTATTAAATTAAGGTCTTATTGCATATTCATACTCAGAAGCATATGTATTGTTAAGAATATTTAAATATCTATATAGTTTTGTGAATATTCCTTTATCATGAGGTTAAATATCTCAGACGAACCTCAATAATCAGTTTTATTGGAACATTTTCTAGAAAGTTCCGCAAGTCTGAAGTTATTTAGAGAGAAAATAATGCCTAGTGTATTTCTTATCGAAGACTTGGTTTAGTGACATTTTTTGCCAACTTGGCGATAATGTTGATGACAAAATAATAGTTTTGGAAAATTCAAGATTCGACACTATAGCACTGATATTTATGGAGTTATGCAAGAATAGTATAAATCGTGTTCAAAGCCAGGCCCATATAAATAGGATTTTGCCTCACAGAATAGAGATTATTGGCCTGTTTGCGACTGCAACGGAGTTCTGGTTTGCGAGTCTCTTGTGAGTTCACTTTAAGCGTTTAGAATAACATTATCTATAGGGGAGTTCAGACGGAACCACTTTAAAAGTTCACTACAATTGAGTGTTCACTTAACAGGGTTCAAATGTATATTATATACAATTGGTATCATTATAGAAGAAAAGAGGAAAGAAGTTTTTCAATTTAAAATATATAACAAAACTACAACAAACAGCCCAATAATACAATTATTTATTTTTGATTTGAATATTGTGTCTTTTTGCCTGTTGATTAACTAGGCCTAGTATTATCCAGTCTTTAAAGCAGTTCATCAACTCGCATAAAAGCACTCTTCAAATCTACAACCTTTCAAAATTTTGAACTAATTATTGGGTCATACTTCTAATTTGAGATAATTTTTTGAGTAAATCTTAATAGCATATTTTCAAGTCTGTGCTATTCTAATTATAAAACTTTTGATTTTGGATAAAATAAAAATTGGACAGACATTTTTGATAAAAAAAATTATTCACAATTATTTTCTTATATTGCATAGCTTGCAAACTAAACTTCTTTTTCCCCATAAAATATTAAAAAAAGAAAAATTCAATTTTTGAATAAAGGATTTTTGAATAAAGCATACTTTGAATCTCCTATCTTCAACAAAACATGGACAGTTCATGTGAGGAACACATTCATAACCATCACAAGCATAATCAAGAGGGCATGACACTGGACACTGGCTCTTCAGGAAAAGTGGAACTTCTGGGCAGAGCTCCAACGGACGTAAGGTGGTAGTTTCTATACCTAGATCAAATCATAAATATGGTCTTATTGTGATGAAACAAGAAATTGGAAAAATACTGTTCTCAAGTAGCATAGGGATATTGTTATATACAGAATAATATTGATCGACGTTGTGAACGCCGAAGGTATTTGTGACATCCTGATAACAACATTCTATGACATTCATCAATAATGCGATTTCATATTAAGATAACTAAGCTGTAAAATACAAGAAAAAATGTTTAAAAGACCATAATAATTTATATTTGCTTAAATAGCCTAAGAGTCAAAATTATCACTGAAGAAGTACAGAGTGGCTAATAAATATTGCAACGCTCTATAAAATAGGAATTAATTTTAATCGTTTAGTAAAACAATTGCTCTTTCAGTTTTCTTGTGAGGGGCATTTTCTATAAGTACAGACAATTTTTGCTTAAAGCAAAATATTTTGAATACGTTAAAAGATTGAATCGAAAAAGTTGATGGTTGAACAGCTTTTCGATCGCGGATTTTCTGCAAGCAGAATCTTCAAGCAATAAAAATATCTTGGGTTTAATAGAACATTTATAAATAGACCTTACATTAATTATTGGACAACCTATACATTGGTCTTCCAAGCTCAGTTCATGCAAAACATTGCATTAAAAGAACTGGTGAAAAGATAAGGAGAAATCCATAACATTCTGCTAATAAAACAGCTGAAGATGGAAACGTGAGTGGGAGAACTATGCAAGTTGTATTAAATGAAGACCTGGGTTTTTGGCCTTATCGCAAAAGAAAGGTTTAAGGTTAGACAACTACACCGAAATTAAAAAGGTTGCAAAGATGTAAGAAATATCTGAACGAGCACAATAGCAAAAATGTTTACGGAATAATCTTTTCTGATTAGAAAATATTTCGTGCAGAACAAAGTTATAATGTTAAATATAATTTTGTATATTCAGCAACCTTTTATGATATACCTGAAAGTGTTTAAACTGTACAACGCTTTAAGAACGAGAATTCTGTAATGGTTCAGGCTGCAGTATCAAATAATGAAATAAAGAATTTTCCTCTTTAATTCCTCGATAAAAGGGTAAAAATCAATGCTGAATATTACAAAAAGGAAGTATTGGCTACACATTTATCGTCACAAACTGACAGATTGTATCCTAAAAAGCAGGCCTCGAAAAACCACCCTTCCTCAGCAGTAAAAAATTTCCCGCGGACAACGAATTTCTCGAATCCGACGCCCGCGCGGACGGCCATTTTCCTGCTAACGTTCGTGATACATTTTCAATTTTTGTTATCTTACAAGAGTTTAGCGCCTCACTTCTAAAATGACCTTCTAATCTAGAAATCCCGTAAATTCCTTCGTGTGTTTGATTTCACCGAGTGGCCATCTGAAAAACAGCTTTTGATATTTTTCGGCAACCAAAACATGCAGATGTTACTTTAACATTTTATTTGCTTTTTTGAAGGAGTAGATAAAGAAATTTTTTCTCAAGAATGGGTGTCATTAAAATTAAGATACATAACATCGTTAAACACCAGAAAACTTCAACCCTCCAAGCCCAAGCTATTTATAAAGACCTAATGCAGCAAAATGACCCACAATACAGCAACATACTGCACATGGGGGAATTGATGTTTTTTTTTCTGTCTGGGAGTACTCCAGCTGTTGAAAGGGGCTTTTCAGCAATGAACTTACAAAAAAAAAAAAAAAAAAAAAAAAAANCAATGAACTTACAAAAAAAAACAGTACGTACTGGTCTTAAACAAGAAGAGTTACACGCATGAACATCTACCTAAATGGAAAACCCCTTTCAGATTTCTGTGCAGAAACCTCTGTAAATCATTGGCTTGATTGTGGAACTGGCAAACGTCATATTTAATTCATTTAAAAAACGCAGTACCCTCGGATAAATTGACATTCCAGATAACTTAACCTTTGTCATTTAAATTATTTCATAAAAGAAATAAATTATTTCATAAAAGAAATACTAAGTTACTATTAGTAACCTAGTATTTCTTTTNTTTTAGAGAATGTGAAGTGACAATGACTAGTTAAGAGTAAGAACTTATAAATGAAGGAGTAATTATCGAGAAACTTCATTATAAAGAATCAACCCTTCAAACTTCAGAGCTGTTCCAAACTCCCTGCTAGGGGCTGATTCCTTCTACACATACTTCCCATAGAGTTAAGCTCTAAAGAAAGAGTAGCCTTAAGTTATAATTCCAAATTTTTTTTCCAATATTGTTATTAAGAAATGATGATATGCTACTGCGAGTTAGTAAACAAAATTAGTCATTTTTTGAAGCCTTTTTAGCCTGATTTTCACAATATTTTGACACTTTAAGGTGGTAAAAGATATCATTTCATAGTTATAAAATGTGGAAAATTTCTCAATGTACTTCACAATGCTGCCATTAAAATAAAAAACAATAAGAAAACATATAACATATAAAACATTTTTTATATCTAAGAGAGAAGGTTTTTTTCCCCTTGTGCTTTGTCATTGTTCATAAATGATATCCTTCCAAAATAAATTGCATTCAATGTTAACTTACTGCAAGTCCAGCATTTGATTCTAACTTCATAGTTGTAACATTTGTAGGATGATTGATCTTGGTGGCGACAAACCAATCCTTTGTCCATGTCACAGGTTACCAACTGACCAGTCTCTGAGTAGTCCTTTTGTGTGGCTAACGTTCTGCACTGGATTTCAATAGCGTGGCTGCACATGCTAGCAGACGCTGCAATCACTTTTGAAATAGGTTCCTCATCACCAAAAGGATCTGAGGCAGGGTCCGTAAAACTAATCCATGGTCCATATTCAATACAGAATTCTGCAAGAAGTAAAGTCAATTCGTGTTTTTTCATTTGAAGATCAAATCATTGAAATAAAGGTGATATATTATAAACAAAGAAGTCAAAAATTCGGCAGAAAGCTGGATAGAAGTGCTTATGCTTCATACAGTATGACTTACAGGAACACCAATTGCATTTTTTAAAGTAGAAGTCTCAGACGGGTGTCTAACTGTTTTATCTCACTTAATTAAGAAAAATGTTTGGTAAGAAAGTAAAAAAAAAAAAGACAATAGAATGACCATTATTTCAAATAATAAGGTAAAATTTCCAGATGCAGTTTATAAAATGATTAACAAATTAGCCTGTTTTATTAAGATTGACAAGATGAAATACTGTCAAAAAGCATAAAATTAAAAACAAGAACATGTTTGAGCAGAGCAGTACTTGTAAAATATTTAGAATTTGCGACTACAATATTTAATGTGACACTGATGCTTTAGTTATGCAACAAACTTTACATTAAGGCAGGAATTGCATTCATATCTGTTGCAATATTAGCAATTTTTCTTCACACAACATATTAGTTTAATTACATTTAATATATCAGTATAATCATGTTTTGTTATTATTTCAGTCAACAAAAAAATTTATAAAATTAATTGGTACTACTCTAATTTTCAATCAGTTCTTTTTTACAAAACTAAGTACCAACATGGGAGAAATCATAAGACTTAGTTATTAACTTTTTTAGTAATTAACATAATAATTAACGTAAACCACAATTAACTTTTGTCTTCACCTATTAATGAATTTCTTTATAACATTATCTACCAGATACATCGCCCACAGTATTTCCAGAATTTATCTATTCGGCCATAAGGCCAGACTTTAAGGAATATATACTGCATTTCTTAAAAAGACTGAGTTATGATAGACTGAACAAACAATTAGAGTGAAAAAAATTGTTCAAAAACTGTCTTTCAAATAAAAAAGTGTACAAATCTTTCCCTGTTGAACAGTCTGGGAATTTATAACACACAACCAATTTTCAAGATGTAATAATCATTTTTAATGGTAATTATAACACTGAACTTTGAAAGTCAAGCAATTTTTTATGATCAAGGCAATACTGCATAAAAAAAATAATTTTCAAATGTTATCTATTACTTGGAAAAATTATTTTTACCATTTGCTCAGTTTTAAAAATGTATTATTCTGCCCTCTTTTCCCACCGCCAGCTTTGCTGTTTTTGATTATCTTCTCATGCATTCTTTTTCTTTCTTGGATTTCTTTGCAAGATTATAATTTTAGTATTCTTCTTCAATAGTTTCATTAAACATTGTTCATATCATTATAAATATTTGTCTATCTAATTGTCACAAGCTAAAAATTTTTTCTTCTTCTTTTAACCTATAAGACTACCTAACTTTTGATTAACGGAAATTGGAGTCAAGCAAATTTTCAACATTCTAAAATCCAGTTCAGTTGTAAAAAAAAATTATTTTAGTACAAAAGAGTACTAGTATAGTCTGTATATCTTAAAAAACTTCCATTGCCATTCATCAGTAGCATTGTCAATGATTATGCTCAAGAGGCTTAACTTAACTATTTGAAGTAGAGGTAGGAGCTAAATATTTAGAGCAACTTTTGACACCAAGACAATGTTCTCACTCAATTTCAAAAAAGAAATTCCCTGACTTTTTTAGGTATATCAGAAAAATTTTAATGAAACTCCAGACCATATTTTATCTATACCATGCAATTTTTCATCTGAAAACATTGATTTTTCAATTGCAATGTAAAATATTAGATTTTCTAAGCAAAATAATATCACTGAATATGGATGTAAGCATCGAAACTTCAATAAATATGAAATTTTTACAACAAATAATAGTAATAGATGTTAGAATCATTTAACTCTAATCTCAATAACTGATTAGTGCTATTAACATTTCTGAGACTGATTATTTTTAGGGTATGATATAAGAATTTTCTAGGTTTTTGCAAAAAAATTGCAACTTTTCCTGATTTTTGAGTCAAAATAAAATTTCCTGACAATTCCAGGTTTTCCTTGAGAGCCCTGCAAGAAAAGTGTTAAAAGTTTCCCTCAATAAAATATGTTATTTTTTGTTTCCACACAACCCCAGACTCTGTGACAGGAGGAATTCTATAGATAGCCAAATTATAGAAAACATTCATCGTACAGCTAGAAGAAATGACACTTACCTGTTTCAGTTGGCATGATAGCTGGTGGAAGTGTTGCTTCAACTAAAAAATAAATAAATAAAAATAAAACATTATTTTTATTTTTTGGTTATAAATCCATCTAAATAAATCTTAAATAGTGCTTACAAGTAAGTTTTAATGCTTAAGTTTGAATTTGACAAAATAATAGTTATTATTAAATAAAAGACCCTTTATAAGTTGTTTTAGGAATCTTATTTGAAAAATCAAACAAGATTGAAGAAGCTTTATCTAATATTTTTATTTCATTTTTCTTCTCGTTTTCTTCAATTAAAGGAAAATTAATGAGTAAGAATTCAATTGAAATGAATTGATTTTATGGTGATGAAACAAAGAGAGTTTTGGAGAATGTTTGAAACGAATTATTATAAACTGATAGATATAATGATGCCAAATGTCATCAATACAGGGAAGAAAGAAGAGTTTTCTTTTCATAATTTGTCACAAGGCGTGCAATAACTGAAATCTGTATACATAAAGGAGCAACAACAAAATTTTATAAAATTTTAAGATAACTTTCGAAACACTTTCAAATTTTTTTTATGGAGAATAAAGGGCTTTGTTAGGCTAAAAGCAGGTTATACAGCAGTTTATTACATAAAGTCATTAACCTCAGGGAAGGCTCCATCCACTGAGCCATCAGAACTCAATTTAAGAACATGAGAAAACTTTTAGGAGATTTTTAGGGATTGTTTACATTTTTAAGAATTTTAGTGAGAATGCGACCCCTGTGGTATATCTATATGTAAAAAACCCGGCTCACTATTTCTCCCATATCCCATGAAGGTTTAAACTTGGACCATAGTTCCTTTTTGAATAAGTAGAAAAAAATTTCATTACTTTGTAGTTATTGGGGCTTAATTAGCCCAGTAATGCTGATTAACGCACATAGAAATCGCAAAATTGAACCATGTGTTTCTCATCAGATAAAAAAGAAACTAAAAAAGTTCATTTCCATTATAAAATTATTGAAGTAATAAGCCGAAAATTGACAATAATGCTTAAATGTTTTTGACCAAGATGGAAGTCTCAAATTTGGCCCTTGTGTTCTATATGGGATAAAAAAAACTTAAAAAGTTTTGCTGAGATATTTGTAATTATCAAGGTAAATAGTACAAAGCAAATCATTAAAAATAAAAAGGTGACAATGCAACAGTGGGTAAAAAAAAAACGAAAACTAACAAAACTCAGTAAAGTTGGTGAAACAGAAATGGTTGGCTAAAATGTGATGTGAGCAACATCACAACTATAATGCTAAATAACATGGTCCCACGATTTACCATTATGTGTTTGGCACAGCATATTTGACTCAGGCTTTTGTTTGATTGCGAAGCAGCGAAGTTGGCTAGGTGGGCCACCATGGGAGAATCTGAAATTTTTTTTTCATGGCTCTAATTTACAATTTAAATACTAATGCTGGGGATTTTGTGCAGGAGAAGGACAATGAGAAACTGTGAAACGGTCACTCACAGGTAGCTTGTTCAAGATAAACTTGTGTATAGAGCTTTAGTTTTTCTAAGATTTAACATAAAATGTTTAAGGAGGTGGCTAAAATCAGTGACTTCTCAATAAAATAGTCAAAAAACGCTTGGAATTTATGAGTTACCAATTTTAGTTTACAGGAGTAAATTTAATAAAAAATCTCTTTGTTAACTAACAGTTTCAAAAGAATTACTTACGGTACGGGACGAAGCAACCGAGCACCTCCATGCGAAGAGCCGGGCCAGTGTGGTAGTCCACTATAATGATTTTCAGATATCGAGCTTCAATCATGTGTTTGAACAGTCGAGTGACTTTTCCATAGTTGTTGGAGTTTCCTTGGAATACCTATCAAATAATCAATGAGCTATTCAATAACTTTAAACAAATCAGCACAACTGCATTTAAATAGTAAATCAATCAAACAATATATACGAAATATATTGTAGAAAGAAAAGCATCCACATTTAAGAGAACATATTTTATTTTGTTACCATAACAGGCATTAAATACCTGACCTGTTTCTGGGTTTATGACTATCATACAAACTAAATTAGGCATTTTGAAAAAAAAATTCAAAGTAATGTCCTTTTTAAAAATACAATTCTTACCAGTTCTTTATTCAATTTTTCTTCAGCATCTTCCCAAGTAATATTGTCAATGCTATACTTGACATAGTAGCTCATAACCCATTTCTCTTCCTCTTCAAGTCCTTTTAGAAATATGAATGAATGTGAATTACACTATTTGGAGTACTATCAAAATAAGATAAAATTCAATTAAAACAATACTGCATTTTGAAATTCTTTAAGGTGTCAAAAAGCACCATGTGGTAGAAATAGCTAATCCACATTTTTAAATCCTGGATGATCTGGAGGAAAATAAGATCACTGGATAAACTATTGCAAGAAAAATTAAAAAAAAAAAACAGTTATTAAAAAAAATAGAATATAAGTAACTTTTGCAAACTCTTGGTAAAAATAGTGTTAAACACATGGTACAATAAATTAACCAAAACAGTGCTTTTCCACTTAATTCTTAAAATTTTACCTAAAATTCCAGATTAATTAAAATCAGAACACCATTTTCCGCAAACAAGCTTTTATTCAATTATCAGAACATAAAATTATCATTTTTTTAAAAAATTTCACAGGTGAAGCTTTTTTATGAACACAATCGGCAGAAGAATGTCCACAGTGGTTTTTATTAAAATATCACAGACAATATTTTTCTACCATATGGTGAGAAAAATTCAGTAATAAATCAATACCTGAACCAAAATACAGTCAGACTTCTATTGAACGAACTTCCATTTTACTTCGTAAAATAACTTCCAAACAGCGAAGTGAATTTTCTATTTAACAAACTTTTCTTTGAGATCCAGTTTTCCTATTCCCCAAAATATTTTAGAACATTTCAAACTTGTTAACGCATTTTAAAGGGGAAATTGATTTTCAAAGCCACTTTAACTTTTAGAGTAAGCAGCAAAATCCCTTTCTCTTTTTGTTTGCATTTCAAACGAAAAACTCAGACAAAATTAATGGATTTTTAAATTTTATAGTAACAATAGCAATTAAACTTAATGCATGTAAAATAAATGTAGCATTAATTTTATACATAAATTTAGCTTTTTTTTAAGTTGAAAATGTATGTAGCATGATAGTGTAACACTGGACAATGTTTTGCTATATTCTTACTTTCTATGCAGATTTTTTTTTTATGGTTGTGAAATTAAAGCCTGTTTTGTGTTGTTTAAGTATATCAAAAGGTGATTTTCTACTTAACAAATTTTACATATAATGAACTTATAATCAGGATTTAGCGACTTCGTTAAATAGAGGTCCGATTGTTGTTTAATTTAGATTTACTTTTTAACTAAACAAAACTCCACTAACTAAATTTTGATTGATATATTAACTGATGCTAAATAAACGCACGCACAGGCATTAAGGACTCCACTACACTTTTTTATTCCTATTTTTTCAAAAACGAAAAAAAGAAAAAAAACAGTTGAGCTTTGCTTTCTAATATCAAGAAATATTGTTAAGCATAGCAATTAAAAGAAAATAAAAAAGTAGAATAGAAAGGTAACATCCTTTCAAACCAATTGTGAAGTGGGGTTTTCAGGTAAAAACAAATGATTAGTAATATTAAAACACTTTGCAATATTTTTAGATCGTAACGATATTTCCCGAAATAATAAAAAATTTAGATTATACGATTTAGTAAAACTTCTCTATCATGATATAGTATAAAAAAACCATTGTCTTGAATATTTAATAAAAACCCGTGGGGTCCATTATGAACCTTACTTTAAAAATTCAAAAGCTTTGTTGTGCATTATTTTAAAAAATAAGTTAATGCATTTATTGATAAAACCTTTTTAATTTAATTTATCCAGGATTTTAATTTTAAAGTGAAAATACCCAAACAGAAGTGCATACCTTGCGTTGTTATTCCAGTAAGATTTCTAACACCATAGAAATCTATGACAACGACTGGCATATAATCAGACACAGCTGGAATCCAACCACCCGTTCCATCAGCATCTGCGTGGGTGTTCAATCTTTAAAAATAAAATGGTTTAGAGTGAGATCATTCTTTTAATAACAAGAAATTTATTTGTTTAACACAGCACAACCCCACCTCTTTACAGCGACCCTTCTATTATAACTACCAATGCACGTAATCTTATTTCATGGGCATAATGTAATCTAATAGAATACTGACACTGAACTAATCATTCCAAAATGGCTTCCTAAATTTAGTCATATGATTTAGAAAAAGTTACAAAGAAATTATTTATACCATTATTTCCTTTGATGTTACCACATAGTAAATATAAAACACTTTGAATGAAGGAAAAATGACATTACCCCCTAAATTTTCATTATAAATCCTATGTGGTCATAGTTTCTTAATGTCATGTCCTTTGTCTGGTACAGTTTACAGTGAACACATATGATTTTTTCAATTATCTTGACAAGTAGTGAAGAAAAAAAAAATCCTGAAAGATGCTGAATAATTTTTTATGTAATGATTGGATTTTCACTTTCTGGGACTTGATCTTAATGACTCGAGAGGGTGATATGCTAATCAATTAATGCATACAATATTTTAAACAACGATGTCAGACACAAAAACGTACTTTCTCTGAATTAACATGCTTTTTTTTTTAAGGATTCTAAATTCTTTTTTTTTTCGTTGACGAATTCGCTACATCAAGAACTTTTTAAGTGAATTTAAAAATTGTCACATTCAATTACAAAATTTGTTTATCCAGAGATAATGTCATTCAAAAAATAACTTTCAATAAATATTTATTACTTTTCTTAATTTTATTTAATAATGGCCTAAAAAATTCGTGAATTGTAAGGTATACAATTTTTTAGGTATACATTTCAAAGAACATAATTCTGCATGAGAAAATACAAAATTTGAGCAAAATCGGTCAATATAGACAACAAACACTGCATAATTACCAATTAGTTATCAAAAGTATTGCTTTGTTAAAATAAGCTAATTATTTTTTCTAGCTACGAGCTAATATATAAATACAGTATTTTGCACAACCACGGTGTCTGATTTCAGTTGGACTACAAATTTTGTTAAAAATGAGCATCAACTGTAATAAATATGAAGACCTGATTCTAGAGCTTCCACTTGTAGGATACATAGATGAAGATACACTGATCAGAGTATCTGGAAGTTGATGATTTTCAAATCCCATCGGCTCAGCACATCCCTCTGAAATAGAAGAATGGATCTAAAATTTCAGCACATCTTTAAATCCTTTATAACAACTGATAAGTGAAGTAACATTTGCGATTTCAACCCTCATTAGGACGCCTGACCTGAACCGCTCATTCCAATAGAGCAGTTGGAATTCTTTATTACTTCTTTTTTTTAAATTACAAGAACATCACCCTAAGAACAGAAGCTAAACATTTTCAAGCAAAAGTCTTGAAGAAATTATTCAAATCATTTTTTTTTATGTTACCGTTCAATAATTGCGAAACATTTTGAATTTTCTATGAATGAAAAAAAGGAGTATCATGACAAATTCTATCCTTTATATACAGCTTAAAGATGGTGATTTTTATCACAAAATCTCAATATTTACGAGTAAATACTTGCTACAGTTTTATGTGTTCATGATAGAGCAAACTCACACTATAACATACATTTTCATTTGGACCACAAGGTCGTTATGTCGAGGCTCGACTGCATTACCAAGCATTAATTTTCCACATAAATCGAAAAGTTTTCCAGAACAATGTGACTAACAAAACTCGTTATCTTTTCTTCCAGAATCATCACAGGAGACTTAAAAACTGGGCACAGTCAAGTAACTAAAAGGCACAGTCATTTATTTTATAGTAAAGTACATAAATTTAAGGGATGGAGGATTTTGAATAACAAGATTGCCACCTAAATCTGGAAGGAAAAAAATTCTCTGCGTTTTCTCTGTACATATTTATTTTACACAATATATTAAGAGGAAACACAACAATTGTTGTGCTCTTGTGTGAGCTATATTGGCTAACTATAGTTATTAGTTTTAATTGCTGGAAAAACTTAGAGAAAAAAAAAAGGAACAGCTGAACATACTTAAATAATGCTATAGTAAATGAAATAGTTTAGTACAGCTGAAACATCATCCTTAAATATCCTATAGATTACGCTTTGAGTGGTAACTCTTTTTTAAAAGACGAAAATAGAAAACAAATTCGCCGTATTTTCCCTGTTAATTTTGGTGATTTTTAAATTCCTTGTATTTTTTAGGTTTCAAACGAAAATGAGAAACAAAATTCCCTATATTTTCCCAGTTTCTAATGAAAAAAAATCCAAATTCCCCACATTTTTAGGTTATTTTTAACTACCCTGTATTTTCCAGGTGCTCCCAACTCTCCCTATGGAGTGGCAACTTTATCGTTAATTCAAATAAGGTGGGCAAATTTTCCTTTTAACAAGCTTGGTGAAGCTTCAAATAAAAGCAACTTTTAATAGATTTTTCAACACAGAAACATAAAAAAAAAAAAAAAAATTCCGTACTATTGTAAACAATTTTTTGGAAGGAAAAACTATTAAAGAAGCATTTCTTTTAGACTTGTAATTGATTGATTGATTTGTTATTGAGATTTATTTTTTATATAGAAGGATTCAAAAATTTAGATTAACACCAAGACAATTAATGGAGTAAAGTGTAAAAATAAACACTATACTAATATTTGTTTATCTACATTAAAATTTAAAGAAACTCTTTATAAGAAGCTTTTATTAAAATCTCGACACTTTATTACTTTTTAAGGTAACTAGACGTTACAAATGAAATTAAAGAAGCCTGTAAGCTTTGTTATAAAACTGTATCTTAAACTAAATGAAAAAAAAAGGATGATTTAGTGTATGACTGGAATATAGAATTTATAATCTTAATTAGAATTGAACAGGTGTAAACGTTAAATGTTATCATTAATAATAATAAGAAAAAAACAATATTTGAATTGTACAAATAAACAGAAAAGAAAAATACTTGCCAAAGTAGAATGTTGGTGCATGTGTAACTTCTTCTTTCACAAAGTCAGTCAAATGTTCTTAAAGCGAAGGAATGAAAAAATTAGTTACAGTTCTTATATCAAGTGAATTAGAGTGTATCTCATTTGAAAAATAAAATATTTCATTTAAAAACAACAATGTTAAAAACAATGGAAACATAATACAGTAGGAATGTATAACTTGCAGCCCAAGGACAAAATGTGGCCCTTGAATTACTAGACTGTCTTTCAACTTAAAATCAATTGTAAATAACTAAAGAGATTTTACGTTTTTTTATAAAGCTAGCTTCAATAATTTTTTTAAAAAACCACTAGAATTATAACATTAAATTCAAAAGTGTACGGGGTCTAACTCAACATGTTAACAGATTTAAATCTTACCACATTTAAATTCTTTAAAACAAATGTTTTTTTATCATCGAAGCATGTTTTGAACTAATGTAGGCCAAAGATTTATGTACATAATTTAAATATTTAAGATATAAATATTTTATATAGAATAAAAAATAAGATAAATTTTTCTATTTAATTTAAAATTATCTGTACTTGAATCGGTTAAAACTAAACACATCATTGTAACTGAAGTCCAAAATAATTTATAGGAGACCCACTCTGAAATAAGATATATATATTTTATATAGAATCTAAGATAAATATTTTATATAGAATATAAGATATAAATATTTTACATAGAATAAAAAAAATAATAAAATTAAATTGAAATTAATTTTGAATTTGATTGAATTGAAAACCATCTATATTTGAATAAGTTAAAACTAAACATGTCGTCAATATTGAAGTAAAAAATATTTTAGCGGAGACCTCGCCTCTGAAAAAAAGTTTTCAGATGTAATGAAAATGATTTAATAATTGTTTTAATACATTCTTAGAAAAAAGAGTTTTTTAATGTAGAAATTTTAAATCTTACAGTTTAAAATTTTTAAAAAACCTTTAAAACTTACCATAACAGCCTATTATTTCCAATCTCATTGCGATCCAATTTTGCCATGCTAGAGGATGAATCTTCAGATACCGGGCTCTGACAGGTTTAGGAAAATAATTTTCAACTATGGTATTGCTATCATAATTTCCTGGAAATATCTAGGAAAAACCAAACAATCAGGGTTGTTTCTCCCCAGTGGTTATTTTAACCATAATTCTACAACTGAAATGTGTACATTTATTTTATATTTATGTGTATACGTAGTAAAACCCCAGTTTTGTGTTGTTCGTTTGGTATGTTATGCACGTTTCTTACATAATTTTTTCTGCTGGTTCGTGAAAATTGTCTGTACTGATAATGTTAATTTTTCCTGTATTTTATGTTACCCTTTTTAAGAAAACTCCACTTTATAAGTTTTTCTTAACAGTTCATGAGGGAACTCCACAAAGCTCACAGGAACTTTTTATAAGTTCTGCCTTTTTTTTTTAAATGAGAGAGAGAGACTTCTTTGAAGGTGTTCTTTCATTTGTTTTATTCCATTTTATTCTCTTTTTGTCTGTGAGCGGGGATTTCCCCCTAGAGACAAAATCAAGAGGGTGGTGGAATGGGCAAAAGCACAGAGACGGATGCTTAAAATTAGTATGGGAGCTTAAATTGTAAAATTTTGCGAGTGGAATCTTATCTAGCAAACTTTATTTTTCAATAACTCATTCATTTAAAAACGTTATACTAAACAACTGGCCAGGTAATCATTTCATTTTCTTGATTGTGGTAACCTGCAAAATTCTTCTAAAACAAAAATAAAGCTTTAAATTTGATTTTTGCAGCGTTGAACACTGACAACTAATAAAAAACAAAACATACATGCATGTACACTCACAGGTGTATCAAACATGTAAAATCAGGGGTCTGTCCAGATATTTTGTAAAATTGTGAAAAAACTACTCATAATTTATGATTATAAAATAAACGTTAAGTCACATTCCTTCTACCAGGGTCCTGCGCTTGTGAATTTGTGCAAATAGGGTCCTGTTACTGCAAAAATTGCAAAAAACGTTTTAAAGAAGTTTTTAAATTGTAAATAGATACAAGATTATGTTCAACAATTACTGCTACTAAATTAGAGATGCAACATACAATTATTTGGTATTTAGCCTATACTGCTCAATGCAGAACATTCATTCCGGACGAATAACGGAAACAAAATCACTCACATTTTTAATAATTTTAATTGACATATTTTAAATAACACAACTTAGTCATATATCACTTTTAATGTGTTACACATTGAGTAAACTTAAACAATTCTTAAATTTATAATATTTTATTTAAAAAATTGCCAGATATTAATTTTTATTTACATAATATTCCATTAATTAATTTTATAAATAAATATAAATTGATCAATTATTTATGTACAAAAAAATTATCATTTAATATCAATAAGAATGCGCACACAATGTTTGTAAAAGTAGAAATATTTTCTTAGAATAAATACATTTGGAATTTAAAGATAGGGAAACTTCGAAAACTTAGTTCGTTTCCAACCGTCTTTTTTTCCTTCCCAGGGAAAGGTTTATTCGATTAACGAAACAAAAGATAAACAAATTTGTGAAGGGTTTGATTAAAAGATAAATTATTTTGTGAAAGGTCCGTTAACAGACCCCTGAAAATGGGGACTATATTAACAATCAGTAAATTGTGGATGTCATGAAGGAGTTATGCGATTTGAATAAAATTTTTAACCTAGTAACTAAATACCAACCTGTTGAAATACATTATTTATAATAATAAAAATTTTAATGTATTTTCTAGTGCAACTGGAGATCATATACACACTTATCCTACACTCCATAAAAACGCATATAATTGTATAAAAACATGTATATTAAAAAAAAGTTCATTAAAGTTTGAAATTAATGTTGAGTGCAAAAATAACAAATGACTGATGAAGAGAGGAAAATTGTTTCTGTGCATACACACTGATTTTTACATATTTCAAAACATCAACTTTAAAACTACAAGAAATTAGAATTGCATTAGATTCTTTTTGTTATTTTCCAATGCAAGATGTCTTTTTCAAGATCTTCTTCTCTTCTGCTTGTAAAAAAATAAATTTCTACACCTGGAGTAGCTTTTTTGAACACTAAATGGATTTGAAGCAATTTTATTAATTTATTAACACTTCATTAAATATCAAAAGTTGTCGCATTGAGAAATCTTTCCAACTGTTTGAAAGCCATAGTTTTTCTCCAAGACCTTGTTTAATTTCGCTACTATATTTTGTCGATTTTTGCCTCTTGCATTTTCAATTCAATAATGTAACTCAGTTAAAATGTGTTAAAGTTGTAAAAACAAGCTCATTCTTTTAAAAATTTAAAAAAAGACCCAAAATTTAAAAATAAATTATCCACAGAAAAAGCTCTAAAAATTTTAATAGGTAAAATGAGCAAAAGACAAAGAATCCAGAAAGGCAAATTTGCTTAAATTATGTTTCTAAGTTATAAATAAAACAATAATTACCAAAACGTCACTGTTGGAGTCTATTACATTATTCCAAATCTTTCCATTCAAACTGTAACTGACTGTAAAAGCTGTAACCCATTCAGGCACCTGATCTCTTCCTTGAATTTTCACTCCAGTTAAATTGCGGGGCTCCACAAAATTGATCTGGAAAGAAAAAAAATTTTCAAATAATTCTACTAAAGTCAGTTTACAACAAAGTAAGAAAAATCAATTTTTAATTAAAACTCAAAGCTAAATTAACAGTAGTGAAATATTTACACAAAGCAAGTGAAAGAGGAATTAAAGGGTGGGGAAAAAACTAAAGATCCTAAACTGAAGGTCATCCCGTGAATTGAAGAGTTCACAGAGTGGTTAAAATAGTTTCAGTTAAGAGTTATACTCTCGTTACAAGGTGAATATTTAAAAAATGGTACTTATGACGTTAAAAAATATTTGATAAAATAATTTTTTGCGATAAAAAATTCTTTAAAAAAATTAAATTGACTTTGAAATTGCTTGGATTTTATATTTGTTCTAGCCATTGAATGATTTTATAAAAAGAAACAGTTCAACAAAATATAATTTTAGATATGACAACAGGGTGCATAGCCAAATCTTTCAACAAAAAATAAGCACCTTTTAAATACTTTTTAAGCACTTAAAAATATTTTTAAGCACTACATACATTAACACTAAGCAAAATAATTTTCAAAGATCCTACATGATCATGATAAAGTAACTAGTTTCTGACAAAGAACTCTTTTTCCTGATTACATTAGCCACCATAAAAAGATAGAGATTTTTCGGTTCGATTTCAGAGGGAGGAAAATGAAGCACGGAAATTGAGAATCTCCTGCACAATGCAGCCGAGTTACACATGATAGTGCAAGAATAATTCCCACTGAATCCAGTTCAGTATATGCACATGCGGACTTTCAAGCATTTCATCAAACATGTAAAATAATCAGCGCTTTCATATGTTACGGAACGACAGTACGCCGAAACGCATTGTGTTTGAATGATTTCTCAAAATGTTGAATAGAAAAATGCGAGACCCACGCTCTTGCATAATACATGGTAAAGAAAATCAACATGATAAAGAAAAAAATTTTCATTTTCGAAAACGGAAAATCAAAAACTTTTTAAAAGCACCCAATAAAAAAAAGCACTGTTATGGGCTTTAAAAATACAAAAATCGAAAATAAGCACCTTTAAGCACTTTTTAAAAACGTTCACATTCACATTCTGGACAAATGTGAAAAATATTTACCTGAACAAACTGATTCTGATCAGCATCGGCAGCTACCCAGCCACCAACACTCACATCAGTTTGAGGATTATTCAAACGAATGTATTTACCACTGGCATTTGGATAAATATTGCTTGAAGTAATAATTTGGAAATCTTGAATAGATCCATTGTAAAGACCCATATCATCAACACATATTGGAGCTGTAATTATACACAAAATCAAAAGAGGTTTTGACAAGTAAATAATTATACTAGTTCGTTATTATTTACAAATGCATTTACATTTATTTGATATTCATCAACTAATTCCTCTAAGTTGCTATTGAATGATAAAACATTTTCCAGGTTTTAATAAAACTATTTAATTATTATAACACTTTCAAAGCATAAATAGATTTAAACATTGTTCATTTTAATCTTTATATTGAAAAATAACACACAAAAATAACACCAAATAACATACCAGCAACTGTTGTTGTTGGAAGAGTCAATCCTAAAATAAGAAGAAAATGAATTTTTTTATAAATATTATTTGAAATATATATATATATATATTTTTATATACGAAAATCATTGAATATAATTAGCTTAACATAAATAAGATCGACAATCAATTTTATAAAAATTCATTTCATTTGAAAAAGTATACAAATGTACAATAATGAATGGATATATAAATGGGTCCGCCCTATAAACGGGTGAGATGAATGGTGTGGCAGAAGTCGAATTCTTGGCCATAGATGGCGCCACTGAAAAACAAGAACAATCGCACCCCCTCTGCCTATAACAGGCATACGTCAACAACGAAGATACAAAGATTTATTTTTACTGTAATGGCTTTTGACGCTCTCGAGAAAAAAAAATTTGACAGCTATGGATTCCGACCTTCTATATTCATCAACTTCTTGCATGGAGTTGCGCTTCTTGAGAAAATCATGTGTGCCTAGGGACCTCCATAAGGTTTTGTGCTTCAGGCTATTCACTGGACATTACTTTCTACACCATATCTATGGCGAGCATCTCTGAACTGCCCTCCTAGAGACCCACACTTCTTCGTATTTCAAGACACTCTCCACCCCTGGATCTTCTTGGTGTTCGGCTGCAAGACCTATGCTTAATAAAGCAAATATAAAGCATAAGTCTTGTAAGGAAAAGTCATATAAGATGTTACTATTAAGCATAAGTTATATAAGATGTAATTTTAAAAAATCTTAAAACGCATTCCTCACATTTACCATATTCATGAAAATTAAAAATGCCTGATGTAAAAATAAAATTTAAAAAAAAACGAAAGGAATATTGATGGGTTGGATTAAATGCTAGAATTTAACAGCAAAAAGAATCAGAGCAAAACTCTTGATGCTACATACTTTTGATGAGCATAATTAAACTGTGCTAAAACTATTCATGTAGAAAAAAAGTAAAAGAATGAATTAACATACAAATAAGAAGGAAATGTTGAGAAGGTATCTTAGGGCTTTTGCATTTCCCTGAAGAAAGCAAACTCTTTTTTCTTCATGTTATTTAATTAATCATCAGAATAATTTAGGCAAGGAGCAGGTTGAAATTGTGACTTACAACATAAGAATTTAAAAGTTTGTTTAAAAGTAATATATAGGAGAACATCGATAAAGGTATATACCTTCAGCACAGACCAGAACATCTACTCTCATGGCTATATCCCGATGGAAACCAAGAGGCTGGATACGCACAAACCTAGCTTCAAAAGGTATTTGAAATATATGCTGAATAGGAGTATCACTGTCAAAGTTTCCTATAAAGATCTAATGAACCAACTTATGAATGAATTTTGGATGTACACAGTTTATTTCATTAATAATGTTATGTTATACTGAAAAAAACACCATTTATAAGCTGTAATTTTAAACACTAATATTTCATGCACAGTGAGCAAAATAAAAATAGGGCACAACTTAACAACTTTTGATCAAATATTTGGATTTTTATGTACTAAAAGGCAATCTTAATGGTTTTAGAAGGTTAGCCTTAGATTCACTAATTAGTGAAATCAGACATAAAACTGTTCATTTTCTGAATTTAAATAACTTTTTGCGGCTATCACCTATATTTTGGGGATCAGAAATCCGAATCCGTTGAAAAAAAGGCATGCTTATTTAAAGAAAGTACATTTTTGTGTTTTATTTCGTAACTTCGCCTGCACTTATTAATTAGCATACTTGAGGTCAACCCCTCGTGCCATTAAGATTGAGTCTTAGAATGAAGATCCAATCATTAGATCAAAAGTTATTTGGGGTGGTCCGTTTTTTATTTTCCATACTGTACATTGTATTTGACAATAAAATCACTTTTTTATGTTCACCTGTGTTCGATTTATTGGAGGCAGAAAGAAAAACAGCTCTTGTAATATTATGCAAAATATAATTTTAAAAAATTCTATTATTTATATTAAAAATTCATTATTTGACTTGAATTGCTATTTTGTTCAGAATGGATCTCAAATGGTGTAATCAGATCTTCCCTTTGCAACATATTCCTCTCTATTGAAAATTTAACTAGCTTTAATAACAGCTCTGTAATACATCTAGGATCCGTATGTAATATTGGTCTAAATAAGGTTTAATCCCTGACTTTTAATTAATTTCCTCATGAACAGAGAAGCTTCTATTCCACAACAGTGCCATTACAAATTTAGCTGAAAAGGGACCTCACATGTTGAAGATCAGAAGTACTGTTCTAATATTTTTTTATTTTATCTAAAGCAACATTTTCTGTTTTTTCAAAACATTTTCATCATTAGCCCATGTATGGCATGCATTAGTGAGTTATAAATATGATCTCAGGCAGCATCTTTTCACACATCATTACAGTTTCATTATTAGATTATTATGAAATTGCATATCATGTGCAATAAGGTGAAAACAATAGTTAGTAATGTAAAGTAATTAAAATAAATTTTAAATATTTAGGATTTATAAGAAATATAAAGGGACTTCTAATGTAAAATAAAATCATTTAAAAAAATCTTTGTACACAGATTTCTACATTTTAAATTAGTTTCTGAGAAATGAAATGTGTAAAAAATATAACATTTTTAAATGTGTTTCGCAAGAATCATTCAACCAATTCAATTCAAATTTTGTATTCCATCAATACCATTACATAGTTTAAAATTATGAAAGCAGTTATGTACTTTACAATCCAATAATTGTTTAAACCATTGTTACGTTAAATATTAAAATTAATAAGTCTAAAAAAATAACTTTTTTGTCAAAAGTTAGGGATGCTTATTCAGAGAAAGTACATTTTTGTGTCTGATTTTGTTCTTGCTATTTATCATCAAAAGTTTGACGGCGTCAGACCAGATCCATAAAACTGTCGACGAGTAAAAAGTCGGAAACAAGGAGAGAAGTATAAATTTCTTCTTAAAGAAGTCCTAAGCAGCTTAAAATATGTTCAGCTGAAGCCTGATGTTAGTGGCATTTTGGGCAAAGAGGGTAGGATTTTATTCCCTGAGACATTTTAGATGTCCACTGGCAAGGCGTGAAAGGCAAGTATTGCTTTTGTGTCTGATTTTAAAAGATAAGGTTAGCGCTTTGAACCATTAACACTGAATCCTAATATGAGACAAACCTATTATTAGATCAAAAGTTATTAAGATGTTGTTCCATTTTTCATCTGTATACTGTATATGGCAAAAGAATGTAGACTCAAATCTAGTACTTACGCAACCTAATTTTTGCTAGAGAGCATATTAGAATTAACTATAATGAATATTTTTCATTTATACACTCTTTCACATCAGTATGCATATAGTTTTCAACATTAAACAGGTGGTTTGTAAATTATAATTATTATTCTTAATCTTTGTAACATGAAAATTTGTCAAATATAAGTTTGAAAAATGTACAGATCATAAGAGTATAAATGTGGAAGATTTTTATAATGCAATCCTTTAAACCCAGGACTCTGCCTTTTATGGAACTTTGTGTTATATAGATCATTTCACTTTTCTTTAAACTTACTGAATAAATATGGCAATATGAGTCTGGAACAGATCAATAGTAATATGCTTTAAAATAACTTTTAGACACAAATACTCAAAAATACAAAATATGCACTTTACTATTTAATATTTACAAAAGAAAATTAAAATCTTGTGCAGCATTAGAACTAGGAACAAACAAATTAACCAATTTTGGCTTGTTTACTGTTTGAAATTTTAACCTTTTAGCAAACAATGTAATGTTCCTTCTTAGTTATAGAAAGTCCTCACTGCAAATTTCACTGTTTATACCCATAAAATTAGTGTGGTTTATAGAATTGTGTTATATACGCCTAGTTGCCAACATGAATAAGAAAAAATATCCAGTCAATTTTATGAAATAATAAGAATTTAATAATAATTGTTGCATAATGTACTAAATATTTTACACATAGAGAATTTTAGGGATTTTTATAGTCAAGCAAATTGAAAAACTACAATACGTTCCAGTTATGATTAACATTAAATGAACTTGAAATGTTATGCATTATGTTTACTCATAATTTTGAAAAGGAGGCACTTCATTCACCAAAGATAGTTGAAATATTTTTAAATTGATTTAAAGAGAATTTTTAAAATTAATTTAAAGAGAGGTCTGAATAAGAATAAACTGAACATTTTAGATTAAAAAAAAAAAGTTTTAAATTGACCTTTGTAAATGTGGCTCGCTTCATTATGTATTCGTAATACTTATTTAAATATTGAAGCAAGTAATGATTTGTGCAAAAACTCTAATTCAATAGGGATTTTTTAGGAAATTTTCTAAACCGTATAAAAACCCGGAGAATTTTTACTAAACCAGTAGACCAGGAGAAACTGACAAAATCCAGTAGTCTGCAGGAAAATGCAGTAGAGTTGGCAGCTACGTATAGGCCTTGTACTGTAACTTGTTTATAAATTGATTTGCCCATTTACTATTAAGCTGGTCCATTTCTTCACTTAAACCCAAACTCACGCCTTTTCTTCCTTTCCTTGCGTTTTATACCAAGAATGATTCATAGTAACTGTTGTCAAAGTGGCACACCATTAATAAAAAATGTGAACGATAGTCAAAATACACGTTCTAATACCTCAGATTAACGCCCAACATGTTCTAATACCTCAGATTAACGTTCATTTAAAGCCATAAATTTGTTTTCAAAATCTGGTAAAATTAAAATTCAAAGCATAAAAAAAGTTTATTTAAAAGATTAAATTGAAAGGTTGTAAATGGAGATAAGATGCAATTACAGGGTTTCCACAGAAAAAATGAACAAAATAGTTGCTCTTAGTAGTCTAAAGCATGAAAATAGTTACCGAAAACTCTGAAAATAGTTGCCAAAAACTAAGAAAATAGTTGCCCAAATAAGAACAAAAATTCATAAAGAATATGACTAAAATTTTATTAAATGACTTAGTTGTCTCCTTTTTCTAGTCTAACGTAGATTTTTAAATCCATAAATATCTTTTCAAAACTTGATGGATCAATATTAAAATCAAAGTAAAGTTGTGATTCAAAGCAAAAAAACATTTTATTTTTCAGTTTAAAGTTGAAGTTCATGAATAAAGTTCATGAAAAAAATAAAGTTCAAGAGCATAAAAACCATTCACTACCAATGCTATTCATAAAAATATGAATGATGATTGCTAAAATATATATATATATTCTCCTTCCTCAGATTAAAACAGATTTTTAAATCTAAAACATTTTTTTTTTCAAATTTAGTGAGCCACTATTGAAGTTTTATTACAACGGCTGCAGCAATTTGAGAGTACCCATGAATAAACATACCTTATCTTTATTGTCGGTATCAGATGGGTCAGTCACGTAAGCATAGGCCACACCATCCCGACTATACAGCACTTTGTAAGTTTTGACCCATTCATCAAATCCATTTCGACCTTTTGTGACTACACCATATACTGGCTGAATTTTGATCAAATCAATTTCGACAAATTGCTGTTCATTTAAATCTCCAGCAATCCAAGCACCAGCTAAAATAAAAAAAGGAAATTATATTATTTAAATAATTACATTAATCTCCACACAGAAATTATACGAATATAAAAGCAATAATATCAGTATTGTAATTTGCTCCTAAATAATATGCACAAGTTGGCATCGTAATAAAGCAGGGTTTGTTGATTTAAATCACAATTTAAATCAAATGATTTTTTTTTTTAAATTATTGATTTAAATCAAATGATTTTTTATACATATATACATTGATTTAAAAAGTTAAATAACAGTGTTTTAAATTATTGATACTTTCATTATTTTCCTTTCTTAGTTTTAAAATTTATTTTAAATAAATTGCTGCATTAATTAATTTTTGTTAACAAAATTACTTTCTTTCTTGGGGTGTGTTAAATTCCAACACATTTGAAATTACATTTTTAAAAATCTTCTGATTCTTGAGATTGAAAGTACAGATTAAAGTAAACATTTAATGCCGTCTTAATATAGACTTGCATAGCTGTAGAAAGTAATTAATAAACATGAATTTTTTTCACAAAAAATTACAAATAATGTTAATTAAAATTCTATCTTTTGGTTGAAAAAGCATGGAATTAAAATTTATGTTATATTTTATTGGTGGAAAATGTATATTTCCAAAGCTTGATGTTATCCTCAAAAGAAATTAGCATAATATGATAAAAATAGGGCTTAAATTCACTATTTCATTTAGCCTTTATATTTCAATCCAGCATTTGTTTGAAAATGGTTGCTATGCATTCAAAGCTATGTATTATAATGAAAAATTGTTTTAGGTAGTTAGAGATTCTTAAATATTGTTATAATATAGTTTTAATTTCAATTAAACATTCATGAAGTTTTTTTAATCATAAATCAGATCTTACAGTATATTTGAATAAAAATCAAAAAAATCTGATTTAAATAAAAAAAAAATCTGATTTAAATTTAAAAAAAATCACAAACCCTGTAATAAAGGCAATTTGTAATATGATTTTATTTTAAACCATTTTTTTTAAATAACTTAAATGATGTAATCAATAATTTCCGTTTTTTTTTTTTTTTTTTTTTTTTTTTTTTTTTTTTTTTTTTTTTTTTNTTTTTTTTTTTTTTTCATCTCTACATTAAAAAACCACTGTTGCTGTTTCAGGTGATCAATTTTATGTATAGATTGTTTTGTAGAAACATTAAATTCTAAAATTACAATTATTTACTATAAATATGAATACTTCAATTCCAAAATAGATAAAAACTACTGATGATTATTTTATTTCTTATGTCCAAGCATTTCTTCATAAATCAATAATTTGGTCTATCAGCAAGTGAATTGAGTGACGCTATGTTAATATGATAAAAGCACAACTTAATATTGGGGGTCAGCTGCAACAAGCAGAGTGGGTGCCCTCTAGTTTTTTTTTAAAAATTAACTAAAATATATCCCTGTCTCATT